GAGGTTGGAGTCAGTTGACCAATTCAAGTACTTTAAACTTCAAGCCGACGATTTGATTCTCAGGCAGGTTCAATGATAATCAGGTTTACGGATTTTTCCTGCATGCATTGAAAGCAGAGTATTGAACAGAAATATTGCTGAAAAATTTGTTTTATCCACTGCAGAAATCCGTACTCCAGTTCATAGTGTGAAAATATTGTGCTTATGATTAGTGAGTACGCTGATTTGTAGGAGGTGCCGACTGCCATTCACTTTAAAGCCTCTTATTCCTTTTATTTTGAGAGGATGAGATAACAGCTTCATGATTCATAAACGCGACAATCCCAGAAGCTCAATATACTCAAGTCATCTGCCTTTGAACACAGCAGGTGTCTCAGAAAATCACACAGACAATATACTGGTAAAAAACGTCTTTCAGCTCTGCAGCTACGTTCATTGCAATGACAGTCAGTATTCCTCAACTTTCGAGCGACTTTCAAGTCTTGTCATTGTTGTTCAAAGCGACCCACTGTTCTTCGGTGCCAACAGTTTCAGAGATGAGCAAGTATACGGTATTAGTGGGACTGTTCATCTGAAAAATATTTATACTCGAAATCTGAGCTGAATGTCCGATACAGCCATGACCGTTCAAAATGAATATGGTTGCGATCAAAAGAGTTCAAGTTTACATGTTGATTATACTGTGGCGTGGAGATTTACTTCATGTATCTGAGTAGCATTGCAGTGTTGTACAGTAAGTGCAGAGTAAGTGTCATGAGTCATGAGTTTCCTAAATATCCAACAAAAACCCAAAACCGTCGTGTCTCTAACTGGACTTCCACATTGCACGGCGGTGCATATGTCTATGTTAGCAGTAAGGTAATACCCCGTTATCTTTATGAGGTTGGGCTCACAGTGAGTCCTTTCTCCACCGTTTCTATTCGTACAATGCTGGCCCAGAGAAGATTGCAATTTTAGCTCTGATAATGACCGACCATGTCTTAACTTGTTCTCAGATCCATGGATCGGCATGGCCCTAACGGCGATGGCACTTCCCTCAACTCGTGCCACAGCCAACGCATTTGCGGTTCTTTCGTGGTAGTAGAGAACTAGGTAGATGGTGGTGCAACGTGGCACAGATTGCTACGCTGAATATATGGTCAAAAATGTGTCTGCGACTTGACTGGTAAACACTAATTGTCGAACCATGCCAGTCTGTTCGCGTCTTCGAACTCTTACGTCCGAATGCTCACATCCATAAAAGTGAATGGAGCAAATGGCAGTCTGAAAAACTCGGCACTTTGTCCTCAGCTGATTTCGTGTCGTTTGCACTACGGCTTGCTGGGCTAGAGTAATCCCCACCATGCTGCTGCTCTCGGAGACGTATCGATGTCTTCGATTCTTACGGTATAGCTCTCACAATTAATCGAGCGCCGCATCGGTGTCAAAACTGAGTTTTAACAGCTAAAACGTTTGCCACGTAAATAAAAGATCCACGTAGGTCCTATTTCCACTACCTTAAAGTGGTAGCAAGGTGACAGTCGGTTCTCTTGTTCTCTCACGACCATCTATAGCTGAGTCCCTATGGTCTGACAGGTTCAAGCATGCTGTGAAAACTTACAGGACTCACTCACATGACAGAGTTAAACAACACACTATAATGAACAGAACTAACCAACAGAGCATGCAGTTCAAATGCATAATATGAACAGGCAGAAGAAAAACCGATGACGAGTTCGTGAACATACTTTTAATATGCAATAGTTTTTGTCTAAAGATATGGGTTAGCAGAGTATGAGTTATGACATGATTGATTAATGCAGATTCTGCCTTGGTTCCTCATTTCGCGAGATTCCGAGTTTTTTGAATGGTTCGTAAATATGCAGACACATTTTGACATTTTGGACTGACGCTTCTAAATCTAATTCGAAAAGATTTCGTTCAGAGTTTGAGGGACTGTACATGAGACGCTACCATCTAAAGTATTGCTCCCTAAAGTCATGGTTAGCAGCACGAAGGACAAGAAGTCTCAGAAGTTTTTGAGGTGATGGTTTCGTTGTCAGCTTACAGCAGTCTGTATTACAGCTGTCTTTCTACACTGCAAGCCAAGTTCTTTCGATAATTAGACAAGAAGGAATCCGTCGATAGTGGAAAGAAGTACAAATCTCATCAGGACTATATCCTGATCTGTTTATAAATGCAGTGAGTTTCAGCTTCAGCTTTCCTTCCTTTTCTCTCAAAGAGAGAGCTCTTGTTTACCTCGTCGTTGACTCCGTGATCTAACACGGTCATTCGCTTCTCTGGTGACAAAAAATAGCCAGTTATTCACTTTTCAAACCAGTCGATTTCTTTAATCCTGCTTTTCTGTTGATTTATTTGCACCTCTCAGGGCCCGGTCTATGTTTTAGATTGAACCGGCAACTGCAGAACATATCACATCTTATTCGTGTTTCAGTGGTCAATCGCCAGTCGCCTCGAAATGTAGCCGAAATCAGAATAAAAGATTGCTTAATTCGGTTTATCGAAGCTCAAAGGTGGAATGGTTATCAGTTTAATTGGTATGTCATCCGTCCACCCCTTAAGAATACCAAAGAACTAAACTTAGCGCTAAGAGTGAATCAGGTGATTTATTGATCGTCTTGGCTCAGTTCAAAATCGAACCGGATGTGGATAATTAGCTAATTGCTTTGGCGAATTACTCAAACGAATATTATCGAATTCTTCGTTTCGCTTCGTGGAAGTATGATGCTGGGACATTTAGCCTGCAGTGCATTTCGAAAGCTTTCCCTTGACTGAATTCTGGAAGGAGTAGCGCTCTTCACGTAAATCTGACTGTAACTCTCCTCGGCCAGTCATTGGTATTATGCGACACGGAGACAGTTGTCCCTGCGACGGACCAAGATCTACGGTTGAGCTGCATACGCACAGCGAAGGTTAAATGGCAGGTCACGCAAAGAAGGAAGATATGCAATTTCGGGGCACAGCTGTACGCCATAGATAAGAAGGAGGTTAAGAAAAAAAGTTGGCCCCGTTGGATAACGTGGTTGAGCATATAAACCGTTGACACCGGTGGTTATAACCTTAGACCATTATTTCGCGAGTTTCTCGAATGGGAACTGAACAAGGTAGAGGCAGAAGTGCTTCACACAAGAATCCCTTCTCTGCGACTTAGTCGCCGGTACCTTATAACAAAAGTGCTGAAAAGCTGTGAACATCATGAACAAAACATATTCTGCCTGAAAAAACTCGTCAGTTTCGATGAGCACTTAAAGTTGGATGCCGCGGAGGCAGTCGCTCCTCCACCGTATCTGATCCCGCACCAGTGTCTGAGCTTCGGCAGAAGATGCCACCAGTTCAGGGCATGGTTTTTGAGGCATTTGCCAAAGTTTATTCTTGGCCGTTCGGTTGAGCAAGTAGTAGCCGTTTTTTGTTGCTTGTTGGCGGTCGACTTTGTTCGACAAAGGCAGCATGAATTGAGCTGACTGGACTCAATATGTTTCTACGTATGATCGACTGCTGCAACCTTGAACATCGAGAACCAGGCAGTCATACTATGAGTGAGTTTTAAACTCGAGGCGAGCACTCGTTCTTCCCTAACAACTGAAAACAGCAGTCTCCCATCCTTCCCATCGAATTTGTCATTTTCGCTCAAACGGAAATACGATCGGCTTCGGTTTACGTGATAGTGTTAGACTTTAATTTATTGAACATTAAAATGGGAGGTTCAACAGCTGGACGTCACTCACACGCTGTTCATCAGACCGTGAATAACTTTCTGCAGAACAGCTGAATCCTTCACAGACAGCATTTTTACGGCTGCTCATGTTTCTGTTAATTGCTTTAAAACGACTGCGCATTCAAGAATTAGAGTGAAGAAGGTCTTAACAAAACGATGTTATATCAGATGATCATTAGATCGTTTTTACTTGCTTCTTCTTCGTTTTGTTAATCTCTCTCTTTCAAATAAAGCGACGGAGCTTTTTCTGTTAAATGGCACAGTCATTTGATGAAAGAGAAGGAAAATCTTCATATGCCCGAACACTTTTAATATCAGAGCTCATTTGTAACGAAAGTTCGCTGTGAAAGCATTCAGGCATACTCGCTACATTATAATTTCTTAATTACAGATTCATAAATCAATACAACAATTTTTCGGCTCTCACAATTGCCCACAGAGTTTTGGGGTGTTGAAAATTGAGACTTAGTTTCGATCTGACAATGTAGTTCATAAATTTTCACAATCCCAGGTTTTTCTGACTCCATTTTCCATCTTATGGATTTGGTCAAAAACATCGATCAAGAATGCTGAACCTGCGTCTCCAACTCACTCGTTTCCAACGTTGTTTAAGAAGTCGTGAGGTAGATTGATGCGAAGCAGTCCGCAGATTTTCATAGAACATGGGTTCGGTTGAAATCGACTCGTTCCGAAAAGATGATCATAATTTTTCCAAAAAGATATTCATCGGCCTGTGATGAGGGCGGTGAGGTTGCTCGACAGGTACGTGGTTGCGGTTAAGCAAGTTACTGGCTAAAGCTGACTGTTAATGACTGGCGCTCCAGGTATTCGAACCTTTTGTAATCCATAAAACTCCAACGTGTTCACTTGCTTTTATATTTCAACATTTTTTCAATCGATCGGACTCTTGCTTTTCAAATTCATTCTTATTTTGGTATTATATAGACTTGAAATACAGCCCAGCCCACAAAGTAGTGTGCCATCTTTTTGTTATAATATTCAGGTATGTGAACGTAACCAAATGACGACACTGCTCTACATTTGCTGATGTAGTCTTCTTTATCCTTGACCTCATGACGCTGCTTTATCCGCTCTCTCTTTCAGCATGACAGTCGAATCTTTTCGATGAACGATAGGTTGCTTTGAATCGGCTTTGCTTTCTTCACTAGCCTATAAGATCTAAATTCGTAGATGAAAAATTTTTTTCTACCGTTATGTTGAAAATTTAAAGATTCATAGCTTCTAAGGTGCGAGTCTGCTACTGATTTTAGGCTGAAGCGAAATTATGGACTTAGACAGCTGTTTCGAAAAGGAGCTTTCCCTCGATTGCTTCACCTCGTTGAACTATAGTACAGTCGTAGAGCGAACAGAAGGCAACCGGATTGCCGAACAGCAATGGAACGATATCGTCGCTCGTATCGACTACGAAAAGCGTTTGAACGACAACGTGGAAAACGTCATAATTTGCTGCATATCCCTGTTGGGAATTAACGGTGCTATTTGGGCTATTCTTACGCTGCACCAACGAAGTTACAGAGAAAGGCGCATCTTTTTCCTTCTGATGAACGCCGGCTGCGCCGCTGACTTGGCGTTCAACATCATTGCTCTGCCGTTGTACTATTTGAGGACGGTCGGCTACAGACATGCCAAACGCAGCCTCATCCTCCTAGAGCTAATTTGCATCGGTCGACCCTTAATATACACCCTCTCACAGTTCAGCGATTTCACTGTTGTGCTGCTGGCCCTTGAACGCTACCTGTCCCTGTGCCATCTGACCTACCGGCATTCTGTGTCGTCAAGACGCAAGACGTGTCATTTTATGGCGGCGTTGCTACCCGCGTTGCTGATCAGCTGTGTTCGCTTCTATTACATAAAACAGTACGCGGTGATACGGGTTGGCGAAGGGGAAACCGTGACGTATGACCTGCAGACGGACCCGTTCGCGGAAACGTGGTACTTTATCACTCTGTGTCTGTTCAACGATGGTGTCGTTCCGCTGGTGATGATCATCGCCACCACTTATTTCACTGTGTCCATTGTGCGGGTTGTGCATCGCCGCTCAGCGGCGTTGCAGATGTCCATGAAGATGGGTCTGTTTGACGGCTCCAGCAAGGCGCTCGGTCATCCGGTCTCCGGCATGGAGTATACGGTCAGCAAACTGGTACAGAAGCAGGAGAAGCTTAACCGGAACCGCAACATGATCGCCCTGATCCTCATCACGTCGTTCGGATTCTACGTCAACCAAACGATCAACATGGCTACGACAGGAATTATGGTGTGGGAAACGCTGACCGGCAAGGTGACGATGTGCAACAGCGAAAAGAAGATCCGTGACTGGCTGGAAGGAGCTTTGCGCATGCTAGCCGTCGACACGGCGCTGAACATCTTCGACAGCCTCAGCCACTCGATGAACTTCTACGCGTACCTCGCCTTGAACCGCACTTTCCGAAACGAATTAGTTGCCATGCTTCTACGAGTACGCACGGTCAGAAGGTTCTGCGTTGGTCTATACGATTGGAACAAATAAACTGAATGTTTCGAGGTCTTGAATTTTTTTTGTTTTTCATTTTTTTTACTTTAATATTGCGTGAACCTTAGATGCCAGCCAACCGGGTCAGTACATCATCGTCTGACGTCATTATTTGGTCAGTGGCAGACAGCATGAAGTATCAGCCTAGATCACGTAATCCAGTCCTATGTGATTATCGTCGCGTGAATGCTCGTTCATTGTCACGACTGTACACGACCTCATTCGTATAGCATGACATTGTCCTTACACTGATTTTAACCATGGAGTCAAGCTTTGAACTGACAATTTTTGTCATTATACATCCATTCATACAAATAGACATACATGTATGTATGTATGTATGTATATATGCATGAATGTATACTGACAAAAAATGTCAGTTCACGGCTTGACTGCATGGTCGAAATCATATGCGTCATGCGATACAGTGCAGTACAACATACAGAGCGTAGCACTGCATTTCTGGAGCTGGGTTATGCTTTTATAAAGCTAGACTTCCGGTAGATGCTCGGTTCTCGAATGGCCAATCATCGCAAACCGGATTCATCTGTGATTACTGAAATTCCGGAAATTCCGGCTAGGAATGTCAGAAATGTTGCGCTAGCCAATTAGAGCTTGTTTATCGGGGCAGGTTTTTCGCTCGAATATTTCGTAGTAGTTAACGATGCCGATGTAAAATTCTGGCACATTAAACAAACGCATGCTATTTCGCATGAGGCTGATATTAAGAAGAACATAGCTGCCTGAAGACACTCTAATTTAACTGAGGTGTCTAACTGTGAAGAGGATATATGTTTATATCTTGATTCAATATAAACACTTGATTTAAGAATTCTTCAAGACAGAAGTCCTTCCAAAAGGATGGTAACTGGTGCAGAACGGTGCAATAACGAAATTATTTTTTCTTAGGCGACCTTTCCGGCAACACGACAGTGTCCATTGATGGTGGACAGGGTAGTGTTGTGCATGTATATAATAGGTTCGAGCATTTTAGCTATTAATTTGAAACATCTGCGAAATTCCTACATTAATGAATGAACCTGGTCACTCCGTAGTAGTGTAATTGCTGCCTGTTCATGATTGTTCATTTACAACAGCCAACTTCAATTTCTTGACGTAGTTCGCCTATCCGTCAGATTGTCAGCAGGTAAAAGCACTGCATAAAGGATAACCTTAAGTTACCTTAAGTTAACTCATCGAACGTGCAAGGGAATTCCAACTATTTCAGTGTATTGCCTTCGTCGACTTAAAGAAAGAGTTTGACACTGTCGAGCGTAACGTAGCTTGGACTGTACTGAGAGCTGTTACATCAACCTGCTGCAAGACGCGAACTCTTGGTGCTTCACATCAGCTGTTTTACGCCCCCACCGATTACAGAAGGACGTGAAAGGTGGGGAATGGGTACCATCTCCGAAACCTCTTCACTGCCTGTTTAAAAGTGATGTTCCGGAGGATGTACTGAAGGAGTGGAATCAGCAGGACGGCGAGCAGTTCAGCCACCCAGGGTATGCTGATCACGTTGTGACGTTTGTTTAAAACAAGCAAATCAGCTACAAAATGTGCTGCAAGATTTCGACTGAAAAAGTGCAGAAATCTGACTGTAGTGAATCAGTCAACGAAGAAGATGCTGCGATCGGATGCCCTGCCAAAGGCATAATTAATATTAAATCGTGAAAAGATGAAATAAGTCAATAAATGCGCGTACCTGGACAACGGGCGACATGATCAGGTTGGTGAAATTCAGTGAAGAAGGAGGGCCGGCTGGTGGGCGTTCCATTCCATGGACGACTTTCTCCTCAACTGCATCAGGAAAGTCGCGCGTCCACTATTTCAATTTTACTGTTCCGCCGGTAATATAGCGTAACTCTAAGGCGTGTTTGTTCACTAACGCCGAATGGCACTATCTGTGTGTTACCTTAAGAGTCGTGGAAAGAAGACTGGTTCGATCTCACGTCTCGACCACATTCCCAACGCGGTGATCAGAAAGCAAATGGCAGTGAAGGACGTTGACATGGAAAGCAGAATACGGCGGGCCGGGCACGAAGCTCGGATGATCGGCGTTGATCATCGACTGGTACCTGTTTACCTGCAGACCAGACTGCTTGGTCGCCCTTCTCCCTCCCCCGCGACGGTGGAAAGGTAATACCAGGAGCCTGGAAGGAACAGAAGCTTCGATGGACAAGGCTCGAAACCGCGAGGAATGGCAGGTGTGCTGTGGCTGGTGAGATTCGTGACCGACTGCCGGCAGCTCGAACTGATCCGGGTGACTTTGCTGTAGTTTATCGTCAAAAGTTTAGCTTATAGCTGCAAAGATTACTTACTACTAAATATCATATAACGTTATGAATAAAAACTCTAATAAATTAAATGCATTTTTAAGTATTACTGAAAATAACAACTGAGGCTAGGCTGAGTTGATAAATTTCCCATGTTGCTAAAGGAAATGTTATACAGAAGAAAAGGGAATACCGTCTCTCAGAGAACAAAGACCCATCATGATGGAGAAGATGGATATTCGTGGATGAATATGAGCAATAGATGACAACGAAACATCGGGAAGAAAAGAAAGTCTCTTTCTGAATAAAGTGTAGGAACAGTGCAAAAATACCTCTGAGATGGTGCAGCACACCGCGCAGCAAAAACATACCCCCTGTTTTTGTCCGAGAGTACTAGCATCATCAAACAGAAACATTGGCTACACAGGCGTGCCAAGGAGGCATTAATCTTCCAGTCGTGCGACAGTTTCAGTCGTGACAACAGATAAGAACTGTGTGTGTGTGGGTGCGTGCATGCGTGTGTGTGTGTGTGTCTGTGTGTGTGTGTGTGCGTGCGTGTGTGTGTGTCTGTGTGTGTGTCTGTGTGTGTGCGTGTGTGTGTGTGTGTGTGTGCGTGCGTGCGTGCGTGTGTGTGTGTGTGTGCGTGCGTGCGTGTCTGTGTGTGTGTGTGTGTGTGTGTAAGTGTGTGTGTGTGTGTGTGTGTGTGTAAGTGTGTGTGTGTG